ATGTCGTCGTCGTTGAAACAGTTGTGATAAATATCCAACAATTCCTTCTCCTCTTCGGTCGCCTGATTGCCAACAGAGCCGACACTCTTATCGACGTAAACGCCGGACAAATAGGCGCTCACGTCTTTGTGACCGAAATAATTGGCCCAATCGTAAGCAGTCATCTCATTAGGAGTGGTGACCGTTAGGTCGGCCCCGAAGCACACCAGAGCCTCCACCGCCTGTAACTTGTTTTGTCCGGCGGCGACCACCAGAGCCGTCACACCCGTCTCGCTGTGCTTGTGATTCATTAGGAAACTATTGAGCGAAACAAAGTCCAAGAGTTTGTCGAAGGCCTGGTCAGTGCCCTCAACCCACGCGCCCTTCAGTATTAAATCAAACTCTTGTCTGAGTTGGGACTCAACTTCGGGAGTGCGGCCAGGAATCGACACCTCATCGGTTCCAGTCCTGGCGGTCGACGCCTGTATTTGACGTTTACTTCTATCCAATCTTTGTTTATAGCGAGCCATCGGAAGAGTCATATAATTAGTCGCTTTGAGGACGTCCTCCAAGAAATACTCGTCGACCGGGTGTTGACGGCCAGGGATTTCGATGACAGGACTCTCGCACTCAAAATAGTCCTCAAATTTCTTGATGTTAAAAGTGGCCGACATTAGTATGAGTTTGATATTCGCATTCAATTTAATGGTTTGTTTGAGAATTAAGAGCAAAAAGTCGCTAAAACGGTCCCTTTCGTGGACCTCATCGATGATAATATGGGTGGCATTCCTCAAGAAATCATCCCTATTGGACATCAATGTTCTCAATATCACACCATTCGTGCAAAACGTCAATAGCGTCTCATTTGACACTCTGTTTCATAACAATTAAAATTGTCAACAATTTTGATACAAAACAAAAATCAATTTAATCGTTGCATTACTTGCTCTCGAGTCGGATCTGATAGCCAACAGTCCCACCGATCTGTTCATTACGTTCAACGCAAATACGTTCGGCGACACTAATGGCGGCCAAACGGCGCGGTTCACAGCAAAC